GTTGGAGGCTGAAACCAACTACTAACAACATATTTCCTTATTACACATCTGTACGAGCCAAGTGGCTCTTTCTTGTGGTCCCACTCGTTTCGAACAGATGGCGCTTTACTGACAACTGTAATGTAAGTACCTAGTTTAACTTGTTGCCACTAGAGGGCATCTATTATTGTATTATAGAGAGAACAGTGTTCTAGAACTTACTTGTATTCGTCTATGGACGGCAGAATAAACGATACCAAAATCGAACCAAGGAGTTTCCCTGCTCATCCTCAACACTTTTTACATTGGTGACCCATTCTCCCGTCCGAGGATTAATAAAACACAGAAGAAATTGAGTGCAAACACGAAACCGAACCGGCCATTTGAAAAATCAAGAGCGCAACGGAGATATTTTTTCATCGGAAGACGTGGCGCACGACTAGGGGCCAGAGATAGCCTGGGCCCTGCTGTCCTTCTGTGGATCTTCGGAACAAACCCATATTTGTTGAAGACGAGGCAAACAGGGAAAGGAAAACTACGAAAAACGGCATTTACCAAGAACTTCGTCTGTGTCGATGTCGATCGACATAACCTACAAATAGGCCACGCGGTGGCCACAAACAACCAACATTCACCAGTGACATCGAAGAATAAGATAAGTAGCCTTGCCTATCTAAATAGTGAGCTTTTTTTCTACCTGTATAGTACTGATTATCTCAAAACCAAGGTTCTTTTGTACTACAATGGATGAGCCAGTAGTCGATTTGAAGGAATTAGTTAAAAAACGGGGGATTATCAAGGGAAAATTGACCCTTTTTGTTAAATATCTTAATGCGCTTGAGGGCCCTCTTTCTGCTGAAAAATACCTCGACTTACAGTTACGATATTCTAAGATAACTAAAATACTTGTTGATTATGAAAATATCCAAGATTTAATAGAAACTGCTTGCACGGATTATGAAGTGCAACTTCAGGAGAGAGAGGCCTTTGAGAACAACTATTATACCAATGTTTCTTTGTGTAAAAAACTTATGCAAGAATTTGAAAATAGCAAACCACAGACAGCGCCACCCTCGTCCAATAGTAGTGACAAACCACACTCTAATTCTGTAAAATTACCTGAAATTAAGTTACCAACTTTTGATGGAAACGCTACCAATTGGTTGGAATTTAGGGACCAATTTGATGCCGTTGTTAATGACAGTAACCTAAAACCTATATTAAAATTAAAATACCTACGAGGATGTCTGACCGGTTCTGCTCTTAACGTAATAGCTTCGTTGGACTATTGTGAAGAAAGCTATGCCATCGCTTGGCGATTACTCTGTGAGCGTTACAATAATCCCAAGGTACTAGTCACTAATCACTTGCGTGAACTCTTAAATATTGAAACAATTCAATCAACACCATCAGCTTTGAGAACATTAGTTGATAACCTGTCGAAGCATCTCAGAACTTTAAACAAGTTGTCGGTTAACACAGAAAACTGGGATGTTATATTGATTTTCCTCTTGAGTTCTAAACTTGATAAATTCTTACACCGTAAATGGGAAGAAAAAACCAACTCACGTGGATTGCCTAATTTACAGGATTTCAAGTCTTTTCTGCGCGCTCAGGCTGACCTGCTGGAATCCCTGGGTTCTGACAGGCCGGATGAGCAACCGGAAGCGAATGGAACAAGGAAGGCCTTGGTGATCGCGTCCTCCCCGGGTCATGGTACAGTTCCAAAACCATCCCCTAAACCTAAGGTATTTAGCAATCAATGCCCTTATTGTAAAGAGTCTCACTACATTCAATACTGCCCGAAGTTCTTGGCCCTAAATGTGACGTCACGCCTTCGCGCAGTCCGAAAAATAGGCCTTTGCATTAATTGTTTGGGAGCGAACCACATCGTAGCAAACTGCCGGGCGAGTCTTTGCCGAACCTGTAAAGGTAAACATCATACACTTTTACATATAGGAAATTCCCATCATGCTAATAACCAATCAAACAACCAAGGTCAACAGCAACCACTAACTACATTATACACTAACCCACAGCCCGCCACAAATACAACTCCAACATCACGTATTGAGACCCCACAACAATCGGTTAATTTGCATACCAGCCGTAATATGGATTTAACACAGCCATACCTACAACAAACTGTTTTCTTATCTACAGCATTGATTGATGTACTCGACGTCAATAATCACCAGCACACTTTGCGTGCACTTCTCGATTCGGGCTCGCAATCTAACTTTATAACGGAGTCGGCTTTTAAAAGGTTGAATTTACCTAGAAATAGTGTAAATATGGAGGTTTTAGGGTTTAACGAAAGCGTGACCCAGATTAATCACAGTTGTCAGCTGACAATCCAATCAAAATGTGAAGCATTTTCTACCAATTTGTCCTTCTTCATTGTGCCTATGATTTGCAAACTGCCTTCTTATGTCGAAAGTGTAAAACAACTTAATATCCCACATAATTTTCGAATGGCAGACAAAACCTTTTATCAAGGCGGTGATATCGATATGATATTAGGTGTCGAGATATTTTATGATCTTTTGTCTAATAACCAGTATAGATTAGGCGTAGGGTTGCCAACTTTACAAAAAACACGATTGGGCTGGATCGTGTCCGGAACGGCCTATGTACCTTCTAGCCGTAGGGCTGTTAGATGCAATTTTGTTCAAACCTGTAACCCAAACTTTGGCGAATTTAGTAGTACAACAGAGTTTCCAGATGATGATATTGCTCAATGTGAAAGGATATTTGAGACCCATTCACGCACACCTGATGGAAACTTTGTGGTAACCATTCCGTTAAGGGAACCCATTTCTTTGTTAGGTCATTCCAAACCCGCTGTATTTAAACGTTTCAAATCGTTAGAATCCAAATTTTCTCGCGACCAAGGTTACAAGGAAAAATATGTCAGGTTTATGCAAGAATTTGAACAATCAGGGCATATGATTAAACGAGACTCAAATGAGCCCTGTAACTACCTACCTCACCATGCTGTGGTTAACCCGGAAAAGGAAACCACACCCCTTAGAGTCGTAATAGATGCATCCCATAAAACCAGCTCAGGGAGATCCCTTAACGACATACAATATAAAGGTGCAATGAACCAGGACGAATTAATTAATATAATGTTGAGATTTCGAAAACATAAATTTGTTATTTGCGCGGATATCGAAAAAATGTATCGTATGATTTTTGTCAACCCTAACCAACACAACCTGCAATGTATCTTATGGCGCGAAGACCCTACTCACCCGCTGCACACCTACACACTAACTACACTCAGTTTCGGTTTGAAGTGCGCACCGTACCTTGCCACTCGATGTCTACAACAACTCGTGCATGAATTTCGGGAACAGTACCCGGAAGCGGCGACTGCAATATTAACCAATTTCTATATTGACGATTTAGTTCATAGTGGAGATGACGCTCAGAAGGTTGCCGAAACGGCTATTCAAATCGACAGAATATTACGGACCGCGAACTTCAAACTTAGAAAGTGGAAATCGAATTCGGAGGCCATTATAAAGATTGTTAATAAAACCGACGACACACACACTAGTTCACAAACATATGACTCGCAACACACTAGTACAAACCTACACACAGAAAACCCACATAAGGTTTTAGGCCTACAGTGGTGTAACCAAAGCGACTTTATAACGTATTTGTTTATTGACAAACTGACTAATCATTCGTTAACCAAAAGGAAGGTACTATCTGTTGCCTCTGCAATATTTGATCCACTGGGTTTAATCGCACCAATTTTAATAACCGCGAAATGTTTCATAAAAAAATTATGGCAAAATAACATCGGCTGGGATGAGAAACTACCTCTTTCTCAAGAGGAAGAATGGCGTAATTTCTATAATAGCCTGTTTATAGTAAACTCTTTAATGATACCTAGACACGTTATCATCCCTGAATCTGTTTTGATAGAACTGCACGGCTTTGCGGACAGTTCAATGACCGCGTACGGGGCAGCTATGTACCTACGGTCTATAGATGCCAACGGTAACGTATTAGTGCGTTTATTATGCGCGCAAACGAGAATCGCTCGTGATGAAACTATACCTAGATTAGAGTTGAGAGCAGCTCATTTATTAGCCAACTTAATGCACAAGGTTCGTCATGTTTTGGATATTCAATCGTCCAAAATGTTTTTATGGTCCGATTCAAACATTGTATTGGCATGGATAAAGACAAATACGCCTTCCAAATTGATACCATTTGTAAAAAATCGAGTAATCGAAATTCTAAATTACACCAAATCGGACGACTGGCATTGGGTTCCGTCCGCTGATAACCCAGCTGATCTTTTATCTAGGGGTGTTCCAGCGGCTAAGTTAGCACAGACAACCATGTGGTGGCAAGGCCCTACGTGGTTGTCACAACCTAATATTGATAACTGGCCGCCTCAGAATGAATGTAATTACCAACATAAGGTAGATATTATTTCTTGTGTTACTACGGAACCCCAATCACTTTCATTCATGGAAAAATTGTTTAAAAAATACTCAACATATGAAAGGTTGTTACGAGTTTTTACCTATGTACTTAGATTCTTAAATAATGTAAAAAACAAGGACAAATGTTTAGGTGTCCTCTCGGTTGAGGAGTTGAAACAATCTCACGATAAACTTATCATGTTAGCTCAGATCGAATCCTTTCCAAATGAATATCTCACATTAAAGAAAGACAAACCACTGCCACAGACGTCAAATATATTATGCCTAAAACCTTATATGGAAAATGGTCTACTACGAGTGGGTGGACGCATTGAAAATTCTCCATATTCTCACGATAAGAAACATCCTATATTGTTACATAACCGACACATACTTACCAAGCTTATAGTTCAGTCATACCACATAAAGCTCATGCATGCTGGGCCGCAGTTACTTCTGGCATCGATTCGCGAACGCTACTGGCCTATCCATGGTAAGAGTTTAGTAAATAAGGTGACACGCGAATGCGTCACGTGATTTAGGGCCAAGCCCAGGCCTAGCGCCCCAATTATGGGTGAACTGCCCGCATCTCGCGTTACCCCCTCCCTTCCGTTTTCAACAACAGGGGTAGATTATGCAGGGCCATTTAATTTGAAGACCTGGAGAGGACGTGGGGCCAGGACTTACAAGGCGTATGTCGCATTGTTTGTTTGTTTTGCTACCAAGGCAATTCATATTGAGTTGGTTACAGGTCTTGACACCCAGTCGTTTTTAGCTGCCTTCCGAAGGTTCGTCTCCCGTAGAGGTAAACCACAGCAAATGGTAAGTGACAATGGTACCACATTCCAGGGCGCTAGCAACCAGATAAATGAAATCTACCAATTTTTAAGAGACAGTTCAGACGAAATTATGACCTCACTTAGTAACGACGGCATCAAATGGAGCTTTTTACCGGTCTACACACCGCACATGGGCGGGATATACGAAGCTGCTGTAAAAAGTTGTAAATATTTTCTAAAAAGAGTTTTGGCTGCAGCACTTCTGACTTATGAAGAATTTGTAACAGTACTTATACAGGTGGAAGGAATTTTAAATTCACGACCATTGTGTCCCTTGTCTAATACAGATATTAATGATTTCTCCGCATTAACACCGGCTCACTTCTTGATAGGTAGGGCTATAACCACCGTTCCCGACTATGAGTACAAGGATGTTCCCGCCCACAGGCTCACGCTGTTCCAGCAGCTACAGCAGCTTCAACAGGACTTCTGGCGAAGATGGTCTCGCGACTACATCGGGATCCTACAACAACGTACCAAGTGGCGGAGCTCGAAGGGCGCAGCTCTCTCCGTGGGCACGATGGTGGTGGTGAAGGATGACCGTCTCCCTCCCTGCCAGTGGAAGCTGGGACGAATCATACAAACCCATGACGGACGTGATAGTGTTGCTAGAGTCGCGACAGTATTAACTTCCAAAGGCGAAATAAAAAGATCATATGTTCATCTATGTCCACTACCAATTAATATAGATTAAGTATAATGTTAATAAAAAGATACCTAGTACTTCAGATAGGCATTTAACTTGAGTTGAATTTGATGTTAAGTAAATTAATTAGCCTAACTACCTAGCGTTTTAGATTTCTGTATCTTTTAATTGTTTTGTTCTGTTCAATCTAAGCTTAACCCATTAGCAGTCGCATTACATTTTGTTAAATTTAATCAATAATGTAGCTTTGGCAAACGTTTACCTATATGGTTTCTTTTCCTTATTTATTTCTGCTCTGGTTTGATTCGCGGTTCAAGTCCGCGATTGTTGTTTATAGTTTTGGGGCTGGCCTCTAATGGGTTAAAGTTAGTTTACCTTTTAGCCTAACATGCTGCCATTTAGCTTGTTCATAATGTATCAGCTTACTTGAGTTAGATTTATGCTGGCTGGCAGAATGTTAGTAGTTGGTTGTTCCATCTGTTGGAGGCTGAAACCAACTACTAACAACATATTTCCTTATTACACATCTGTACGAGCCAAGTGGCTCTTTCTTGTGGTCCCACTCGTTTCGAACAGATGGCGCTTTACTGACAACTGTAATGTAAGTACCTAGTTTAACTTGTTGCCACTAGAGGGCATCTATTATTGTATTATAGAGAGAACAGTGTTCTAGAACTTACTTGTATTCGTCTATGGACGGCAGAATAAACGATACCAAAATCGAACCAAGGAGTTTCCCTGCTCATCCTCAACACTTTTTACAGTCATTCATTTTGTTCCGCAAGTCATTTGCATAATCGGTTGTACTGCGTGGGGCATCAGGTGGTATTCCGGTGATCAGGTCTGCAGGCAGCCGCAATTCTCTCCCAAAGTTTACGAAAGCTGGTGTCACTGATGTACTTTCGTGAACAGCGCTTCGATATGACAACAAAAACGGTTGTATGTGCCTGTCCCAATCTCGTTGCCGTTTTTCCACAACTTTTGCTAGGTACCTCTCCAATGTCTGATTAAATCTTTCTACCATTCCATCAGATTGTGGGTGGTAAGAAGTTGTTCGTGTTTTCTGAGTACCCATAACTCGGCAAGTTTCCTGGAATATTTGAGACTCAAAATTCCTTCCTTGATCGCTGTGAATCTCTAAAGGTACTCCAAAACGACAGAAGACTTCATGAACTAGTTTATCTGCAACGGTTGAAGCTTCTTGGTTTGGAATGGCGAAGACTTCTGGCCACTTAGTGAAGTAATCCATCACAACCATGAAATACTTGTTACCACTTTCAGTTTCTGGAAACGGCCCCACAACGTCAATGGCTATCCTCTCCCATGGTGCACCAACATTGTACAATTTCAATGCGCCTCTACTACGAATTTGAGGTACCTTTACAGCCGCACAACTTGTACATTTGCGGCACCAGTCCTCGACATCGTCACGACAGTGGACCCAGTAAAACCGTTCTCGGATCTTCAGGAGAGTTCGTTTAACTCCCAGGTGGCCTCCTGAACAACCACTATGGTACAGCTGTAGAATATCCGGCACTTTAGCCTTAGGGACAACCATTTGCAAATGACACCTGTCTCCCCGACCATTTTCCCATTTACGGCACAGGACTCCATCCTGAATCAGCAAGCTGTCCCATTGGGCCCAATAGCTTTTCGTGGTCGAACTCATTGCTGAGACGTCGCTCCACTTGGGCCTAGGAGCACTGGCCTTCATCCATTCCAGAATCGGCTTAATGTCCGAATCTTCCTGCTGTGCATGTTGTAGGCTCTCCTTCCACTCATTGCTGAGCTGGTCTGTCCTGAGCATTCTCACAGATACCACTTCCTTACCCTCTTGCCTAGTACAATGCTTGCAATCTTCAGGGCAAGGTCTTCTTGACAATGCATCTGCATTGCCATGAGATTTCCCGCTGCGATGTTCGACCACAAAGTCGTATTCCTGCAGTAGTTCAATCCATCTCGCAACTTGTCCTTCCGGATTTTTGAACTGCAATAGCCATTTCAGTGCAGCATGGTCAGTTCGTAAGTGGAATTTCCGCCCTAGAAGATATTTGCTAAAATGCTGCGAGGACTTTACCACAGCAAGCAATTCCCGTCTTGTAACACAATAGTTCCTTTCCGGCTTTGACAACGACTTGCTGAAGTACGCTATCACAATCTCTTGATCACCATTCCGTTGAGACAACACACCGCCAAGTCCTATATCACTTGCGTCTGTGTCAACTATGAATTCCTTGCCCGCATCAGGGTACCCCAAAATAGGTGTTTTGCACAGACGGTTCTTGAGCTCCTGGAATGCAATATCGCAACTTTCATCCCAGCAGAATTGTTGCTTCTCCTCGGTTAGCTTGTGCAGAGGTTTGGCTATATCTGCAAAGTTCTTCACAAATCGCCGATAATAAGAGCACAAACCCAAAAATGCTCTAACCTGTGTCTTGTCTTTTGGGACCGGCCACTCCTTGACAGCAGCAATTTTCTCTGGATCCGTGCGGATACCTTCTTCCGACACTACATACCCCAAAAACTAACTTGCCGTTTGAATAGTGAGCACTTCTTTGGACTCAATTTCAGGTTGGCACTCTGGATCTTCATGAGCACGCGTTCCAGGTTTTGAAGGTGTTCCTCAAACGTACGGCCTACGATGATGATGTCATCCAAATAGACGAGACAGGCATTTCCAATTAGCCCGGTAAGTACAAGCTCCATCAACCTTTCAAACGTTGCTGGAGCATTGCACAATCCAAACGGCATGACTTTAAATTGCCACAGGCCCTTTCCTGTGGAGAATGCAGTTTTCTCCTTGTCCTTAGGGTCAATTTCAACCTGCCAGTAGCCACTTTTCAGATCCAGCGTACTAAACCACTTTACGCCTGTAAGCATGTCCAGCGTGTCATCAATTCTTGGCAAGGGATAGCTGTCCTTCTTTGTAACATCGTTCAGGCGGCGGTAGTCAACACAAAACCGCATGCTGCCGTCCTTCTTCTTTACCAGCACCACAGGTGAACACCATGGACTAGATGAAGGTTCAATAACACCATCCTTCACCATTCCCTCAATCATGGTTTCCACTTCCTTTTCACGTGCTACAGGCAATCTTCTTGGCCGCTGACGAATAGGCAATTCTTGTCCTGTGTTTATTTTGTGTTGAACTAAGCCAGTCTTTCCTATGTCAGCTTCGTTTGACGAGAAAACATTGGCGTACTTGAGTAACAACTTCTTCGCTTTGACCGTTTCATTCGGGGAGAGAACGCTGCGACAGTCTTCTAAAAGTGTAGTCACTCTAGTCTGTCCATCCTTGCTGGGGGTCCCAGTCGATAGATATTCGCGCCGATGCAACCAATCCACTTCCTCACTAGTACCAACCAATGTGCCTTTTTCTATAATCTGTTCCTGATCACAAAGGTTCAGCATACGTACTCCTGAGATGTCGGTGGTTCTGACCAAGGTTCGAGCCACTTTCCATGGAAGGTCATTGTCTACCCTTTCCACGAGTACACAACGAAGAGTTTGCCCAGGATTCCGTGGAAGTCTAACCGGCACAATCGTTTCCGATCTCGGCGGAAGAACAATCTTCTTAAGGCTGTACACATTCCCTGGTAACGCCCCTTCCACGAAAAGTTCCTCTTGTCCACATTTCAAAACACCTTGCTTAACGTCGATCTCACAACAATTTTTTCTCATAAAGTCTAGGCCCAGGATGCAGTCGTCCATTATATCAGCCACGATGACATTATGCAGATAGATCATGTTGCCTAGCTTCAACTCCATCTCCTTCTCTCCACGGACGGGTATGCGCTGACCGGTGACTGTCACCAAATTAATGCGTTCTCGGTTGTGTGCGGAGTCCCCAAGAAACCGACTTATAAGTTGGGAACTGACAACCGTGCGAGAGGCTCCAGTGTCTATGGTCAGTTTACACGGCGTTCCGTTGACTTCGCTCTTGATGATTAGGCTGTTCCCATCATGGGTTTGTGAGATCGAAATCCTTGGGACTCTTTTAACATCAGCCAGCACCCGCCCCGCAGTTCTGGCTTTTACTCGTTTCCCTGCTGCTGTTGGGCGGTGCTATTATCCGCACTACCCTCTCGAGATCGATCACCTTCCCTTTCTACAGTTCGTTTAGGGCAGCTGGATCGAAGATGGCCCCTTTCCCCACAGCCGTAGCACCTAGGGCTGTAGCCCTTATTGCGATCCTGAACTGTAGCTACTGCAACCTCCCTGACGCGGTGGGAACGATGATCCTGCCGCACGGCTTCCACCTCCAGTGCATGGGTCAAGGCGTCCTTAAGCGTCTCGTGGTGCCCGAGCCTCACAGCAGCTCTGACTTCAAGGTCGCGGATGCCGTCGATGAATGTCTGCACCAGGTTCCCTACAATGAGCGCAGGTACAGACTGGTACGCTTTTCGAACCAGCTTCTCCACCTCAAGCGCCCACTGCAGCAAGTTTTCGTTACTACGTTGCACGCGATCTTTGAGCTGCGCACGAAAGACGTGTTCCAGGTGAGCATCGCCATATCTCGCCTCCAATGCCTCAAGGAGCTGCTCGTAAGTCACGTCCTTACCAAGAGCTTCCAGAACAGTTAAGGCCTGGTCGCGTAGGCCTAGGGTGAGAGCAGTCATGGCCTGACTTTTATTCCAGCCGTTCGCTTTCATGACAGCCTCGAACTGGATTTTGTAGGCCGACCAGGAAGAACTCCCGTCGAACGGCGGCACTTTGAATCCACGTAGCGAAGGTGTTGTAGCTACCACGGGACCTGTAACTCCTTCCCCAAGTTTGAGGTTGTCCAGCGTTTTCTTAACGTCAGCCATCACGTTGTCAACCCGATTGTACACTTGGTCGATTCGAGTTTCAGCTTCGGACAGGCGGTTGTCATATCGTGCAACCTTATCCTTCACCTCCCTTATCTCTTTCCCAAAGGTAGCGTGAAGGTCCTTCATGAGAAGTATCTGCTCTTCCTTATCACGTTTGTAATGTGTCATCTAATTCGCGCGAAGACAAGTGGGGGTGCATGAATAGTCCGCGCGGCTGACGAGTGACCTCAGTGTGAC